ATTAAGGTAGATAGGTCCCTGGTTCCTGATGGGATCTATCCCAGAATATTGGGGGAGGCAAGAGAACAAATTGCTGGAGCATTGACAGACATCTTTGTACCCTCTTTGGCCACAGGTGAGGTCCCAGAGGACTGGAGAATAGCCAATGTTGTCCCATTGTTTAAGAAGAGTAACAGGGGAATTACAGGCCTGTGATCCTCATGTCGCTAGAATGGAAATTATTGGAAAACATTCTCCGGGATAAGATCTCTGTGCATTTAGAAGCAAATGGACTTATTGGTGATAGACAGCATAGCACTGTACGGAGGGGGTTGTGCCTCATTAACTTGATCGAGTATTTTGAGGAGGCGGCGAAGATGATGGATGAGGGGAAAGTGGCTGATGTTGTCTACATGGACCTCAGTAAAGCCTTTGACAAGGTCCCTCATGGCAGACTGGTACAAACGGTGAAGTCACATGATATCAGGGGTGAGTTGGCAAGATGGATACAGAACTGGCTTAGTCATAGGAGACAGAAGGTAGCAGTGGAAGGATGCTTTTCAGATGGAGGGTTGTGATTAGCGGTGTTCCACATGGATCAGTGCTGGGACCTCTGCTGTTCATGGTCTACATAAATGATTTGGAGAAAAACATGGCTGGTCTAATTAGTAAATTTGCGGACAACACAAAGATTGGTGGAGTTGCAGATAGCGAGAAGGATTGTGAGAAGACACAGCACGATATAGATCAGGTGGAGGCATGGGTAGAAAAATGGCAAATGGATTTTAATCTGGACAAATGTGACATGATGCATTTTTGAAGATCAATTTCAGGTGGAAATTATACAGTGAATGGCAGAACCCTTAGGTGTATTGATATACAGAGGGATCTGGATGTGCAGGTCCACAGACCAATGAAGGTGGCAACGCGGTTAGATAAGGTTGTAAAAAATGATCTATAGCATGCTTGCCTTCATTGGAAGGGGACATTGAGTATAAGAATAGACAAACTATGCTGCAGCTTTAGTGAACTTTAGTTAGGCCACACTTGGAATACAGTGTACAGTTCTGGTCACCACAATACCAGAAGGATGTGGATACTTTGGAGAGGGTACTGAAAAGGTTTACCAAGATGTTGCCTAGTATCGGAGATTTTAGTTATGAACAAAGGTTGGATGTACTGGCTTTGTTTTCACTGGAACGCAGGAGGTTGAGAGGTGACCTAATAGAAGTTTATAAGATTGTGAATGACATTGATATAGTGGAAACTATGAGGCTTTTTCCCAGGGTGGAGGGGTGAATTATTAGGGGACACAGGTTCAAGGTGTAGGGTCGGGGGGATTTTAAAATGGATGTGCAAAGCAAGTTATTCACACAAAGGGTGGTGAGTGCCTGGACCGCACTGTGGCTCTTTTGTGGTGGAAGCAGACACAATAACAGCATTCAAGGAGCACCTGGATGAATACATGAATAGGAAGAGAATAAAGGGATACGGATCCTGTAAGTGAAGACAGTTTTAGTATGGAAGGGCAAAATGTGTCAGTGCAGGCTTGGAGGGCCGAAGGGCATGTTCCTGTGCTATACTGTTCTTTGTTCTTTATTATTTGTTCTTATTCTTTATAAAAAGAAACTCTTGCAATCTCCTTTTATATTACTAGCTAGGTTCTCCTGATATTTCATCTTCTTTCCCTTGATGTTTTTTTCAGTTGTCCTCTGCTGGCTTTTAAAGCTTCCCAATCCTCTGGCATCCCACTATTCTTTACTGTTTTGCCTGCTTTTTCTTTGGTTTTGGGTTGCCCTGACTTCCCTTGTCAGCCATGTTTACCTCATTCACCCTCTTTGGTATGTTTCTTCTTCCTTGGCGTGAATTTTTGCTGTGCCTCTCGAATTACCCCCAGAAGCCCCTACCATTGCTACTCCACCATCTTCCCTGCTAGGTTCCCCTTCCAATCAACACTGGCCAGCTCCTCTCTCCTGTCTTTGTAGTTACCTTACTCAATTATAATACCGTTACATCTGATTCCAACTTCTCCCTCTCAAACTGCAGAATGAATTCTATCATATTATGGTCACTGCCCCCTAGCCATTCCTTAACCTTGAGCTTCCTAATCAAGTTTGCCTCGTTACACATCACTAAGTCCAGAATTGACTGTTCCCTAGAGGGCTTCACCATAAGCTGCTCCAAAAAAATCATCTCATAGACATTCCACGAATTCCTTTTCTTGGGATTCTGTACCAACCTGATTTTGCCAGTCCACCTGCACATTGAAGTTCCCCATAATAGTGTTTTTCTTACATATGTTTTCTATCTCCTGATTTACTTCCTGCCCCACATCCTGACTACTGTGTGGGAGGCCTGTATACAACTCCCATCAGGATCTTTTTGCCTTTGTAGTTCCTCAAGTCTACCCACACAGATTCTACACCTTCTGACTCTATATCATTTCTTGGCATTGATTTAATTTCATTTCTTACTAACAAGCCAACCCTGCTCCTTCTATCCATCTGTGTGTACTTTCAATAGGATGCACATCCTTGGATATCTAATTCCCAGTCCTGATCCTCTTGCAGCCATATCTCTGTGATACCCACAACATCATACCCACCAATTTCAATCTGTTTTAAAGACAGCAATATTGATTCGAATTGACATAATGTATGTTGGATGTCAGCCAATTTGAGGTATGTTACTTATCAGTGACAAGGAGAAAATACAGAATCATATTGGCAACAAAGTCAATAAGGTAATTGCCACAGAGCACTGTTGGGTTCATGTGCCACATGAAGGTTTGATAACAGAACCTTACAAATTTCTATTTTGTTAAAATGATTAAATTTCAGTAAATGTGATCATTTCAGTTGGTAAAATAAACATTATCATGAATGGTACTGCTATTTTGTAATGAAAATCCATTGATTTATTAATACACTTTGAAGAATAACCTTCATTCTTCTATATGTGAACCCAGACCACTCATTTTGCTTAAACCTTAATGCTCTCAGAGCAACCAGCGGTGGGCAATAAATAGTGCTTCAACAGCTTTCCTTACATCCCAAGACCTAGAAAAAAAAACTTTTGACTTATGAGACACTTTCTTTTATTCCTTTCTTTCACATTCCCCGCTGTCCCTGGCACTTTTCTATTTGAATAGTCATCCTGCCATAAACTCCGTGTACCATTAACCTTTCTGAAGTCTTTAGACTGGCACCTTGTCAAATGCCTTTTGAAGGCCCCAGAAAATCTCAGTAGAAGTTACACTGAACATACATGTCTAAAGCCTACTTAATTAGTCAATGAACTCTTTGGCAAATGAGCTTATAATAAGAGCATATTCAAAATATCTGCTCAAAAGCAGCTTCAGAAAATATGTGATAAATAGCGGCACAGATTTCAAATACTTATTTGAATAGTTTGGCTGCTTTTCAGTTGGAACTGCTAAAATCAAGTCATGAGAGTTGAATAATATAAATTATAATACAAAATAGGTTTTTTTTGCTAGGTTACTTTGAGTTTACACTTGTCTTTCCCTATTGTGCTTATTCATTCTCTCAACTGAAAGAACATAATTTGGAGGGAATCTGTAACTGTAAATTGTACATAGCTGTTTTGAAAGAGATGGTTCAGTGCTTGAAACATTTTTCTCATTCCACATTATTACACTTCAGGGAGGATAACATGATGTGTCAGCACCTAGGTAAACACACTCCCCACTTCTCAGCTTGTTTGATCTATTATATATACAATATTACTTAGCTCTTGAGAAAGTATGGCGATCAGATCTGATACAAACTTACCATGTACACACTTAAAACAAAACATAGTTTGCCATTGTTGGGGAATTTCCAAACAGGAAAACAAGACAACTTCCACATCACCAGGTTTTCTACAATCTCCGACTCAAAAAGACGCACTACGTACCTTGCAGGTTCTTCATAGGGATCCTCCACACACCAGAACAACCTGACTGACCATGATGGGTTCTGTGGGTGGAAATGATAGACTGAGCATGCTCTTAAAAAATGTTTCCATCATGACGTCACAAGTTGGCAAATCAGGTAGCCTTTTACTCCTCCTTTGTGAAAATGTAGGTGTTACATTTCAAACTAGTTTATTTTTGATCTACAACTAACCGTGCCAACTTCGCTCTAACATTGCTAACAAAACTCAAATTTTGTAAGACTTGGAAATGGTGAGGATGATATGTGAAAAATACCTATTTGTTCAAAGAGTGAGAAAACTCCCACAGGTTAGATAACCTATCACAGTTCTGAATCCTTGATACATTGTAGGAGCCATCACACAGTGGTACCAATTTTGTAAATGTCCCAGCTGAGGAGCTCATATTACAGATTTGTTACTTTACAAAAAAATCACTTTATGTGGTTGCAGCGTTAAAGTTTGACAAAGATTCAGCAGTACTATATTGAAATATACAAGATTTTTGGATTTGACAGGGCAGGTACAGAAAACCTATTTCCCATTGTGCGAGCGTCTAGGACCAGAAGATATAATCTCAGAATAAGGGGCCACCCATTGAAGAAATAAATAGGAATTTCTTCCGTCAGAGGGTTGTAAATCTGTGGAATTCTTTATCGCAGAGGACTGTAGAGGTTGCATCATTAAGTGTATTCAAGGCTGAAATAGGCAGACTTTTAATCCGTAAGTGAATCAAGGTTTATGGGGAAAAGGCAGGAAAGTGGATTTGAGGATTTTCAGGTCAGCCGTTATCTCATTGAATGGTGAAGCAGACTCTGTGGGCTGAATGGCCTAATTCTGCTCCCATGTCTTGAGGTCTTTTAATCCTATCCCACTTGGCTGGCTTACAGATCAATCAGGGTCAGGCATTAAATGCTGGCCTAGCCAATGATACCCACATGCCATGAATGAACAATAAAAACTAATGAAGGTATGCTTGATGGATGCAGAACAATAAGCTTAATGATACCTAATTGAACTCTCAATATTTCTATAATTTGAACAATATTAATGAATATTGCTGTCTGTTGTTACAACACCTTTAGGGACATAACCATCACTGAATTCCCCATTTTTCCCTGGAATTCACCATTATCCAGAAACTGAACAGCATCGGAAATACAGTGGCTACAAGACCAGGTAAGGGCTTGGATTTCTGCAGCAAGAAATTCATCTCCTGACATCTCAAAGAATGTCCATCATCTACAATGCTCAAGTCAGGACTGTAATTGAATAGACTGAGTTTGCCTGGGTAAATGTAGCTCCAATAGCACTCAAAAGGCTCAACATCACCTAGGACAAAGCATCCATTTGATTGACGCCCGATTACCACCTTAAGTGTTCACTCCCTCCCCCAACAATACACAAGGCCAGCAGAGTGTATCATCTATAAGATACATTGCAACAACTTACCAAAGTTCCTCTTTAGCACCTTCCAAACCCTCAACGTGTCCCACCTTCAAAGGATAGTAGGAAGGTCTAGGCCCAAAACGTCAGCCTTCCTGCTCCTCTGATGCTGCTTGGCCTGCTGTGTTCTTCCAGCTCTACACCTTGTTATCCCACCTTCAAAGGAGATGGGCAGCAGATACATCTGAACAGCATCACCTGCAAGGTTCTCTCTGATGCTGTTTGTGGTTTGCCATATATATTATTCAACATAGCATATACCATAAATAGTTGGGTTCTGTTGAATCAGACAGTTAAAGGTAATTTACAAGACCGAAAGATAAAGTTGCATAGTCTCATAATCTTTAAATCGAGAGAAACAAAACTGGTGGTGGTTCAACCTGAGGGTCACCATGCCCCGGGGACAGGTTGAGAAGGAGAGTCCTTCACGGTAACCTTGGTTGGTGGCAGGAATTGAACCTACACTGTTGGTATTAGTTTGCATCACAAACCAGCCATCCAGCCAACTAAGATAACTGACTTCCATTTATAAGACTTATAATTATCATTTGTTTTAGATGTGTGGTTGTTGACTAGTATGGTTTCTTCAGCTTCTGAGCAGTCATCCAACATGACATGTACATGCCATTTAGATATGTTATCCATTTTATTCAACGGACTTGACCATTGTTCATTATCAAATCATATGAGCAAGAGTGGATAAAACAAAGACTATCTTTCATTAACCTGTGTGCTTGTATAAAATCTCGAATTCATATATTTTCTCTTGGTTCATACTGGATAACTGTTTGCATACTTGTTAATCATGTTGTTGCACCATTTTCTCCCTCTTTCCAACAACACGTGGTGCACGTGGCTAGGCATTGAGAATGTGAGATGGAAGAACTGTCTGTATCAGCTCCAAAACATGAGAGCTGCCAGTGGGAGTAAACCACTGGCTTGAGAAGTAAGACATATATTCAAACACAAAATTTCAGCAAGTTGCTTTACATTTAGTGGTCAGAGATTTTACAGTATGAGCAGTGTGTTCTGTGAGGGTAATAAAGAAAGGAAGTTATATGGTGAACACCCGATTTCCTGCACATGAATTGTCAGGATGCACTACTGTACTGTGGACCATTGTTAGACACAATTTGTTGACAATTATTGAATTTAGTGATTACGGCATTCAATGTGTCAATAACCAATGTACCAATGGTATATTTAATTTGAAATTCAAAAGACAATTTGGTGAAATAGTTAATCACCAGAATGTAATCTTGTAATTGGCCATGGAATGTTGCAATCTTGTCCCATGGTTCAAAAGAATCTCATGTGGATGGAGAGGTTTTCAATTGTTGTGTTTGATGGGATTGACATATTTCACACAAACTGGGGGAACAGATGGCATAGTGATATTGTCACTGGGCTAGTAATCCAGAGATCCAGGTAATGATCTTGAGGTGGTCCCAGATATTGAATCCCATCTTATCAGATGGTGGAAATAGAATTCAAGAATAAAAATCTAATGATGACCATGAAATCATTGCCAAATGTCATATAAAACAATCTGGTTCACTGATGTCTTTTCAAGAAGGATACATGCAACCTTACCTGGTTGGCCTCCAGGTGACTCCAGACTCACAGAAACATGGTTGTCTTTTAAATATCTTCAGAAATGGCTGATTAAGCCACTCAGTTACATCAAAATGCAAAGAAGCCTCAAAGATATTCCATTCCAGACAAAGACACTCCAGCAAAGGTTGCTGCATAATAGTATATAGTAGGGAGGAAGTTGCCTGGGAGTCTTCAACATTCACTCCAGATCCCCATAAAAACTCATGGTATGAGGTCAAACATGGAAAAGGAAAGCAGATACTGCCACCCCACCACCTCAGTTGGGTCAGGGACATCAATGTCCATAGCCCAAAAATGAGCACCACTTGCTTTATCCAAGTTTTAAAACTTTTTCTGGTATTTCAACTTTATAGTAGTATCCAATTTCCATTTCATTTTAATGCAAAATGAAAAATACGTGGCCCCATAACATTTACAGCACATGTATACCTGATCCAGTTTAGCAGCCCCAGGATATTCAGAGTGGAGGATTCAGTGATGGCATAGCCATTGAATGTCAAGGAGCAATATTTATATTCTCTCCTGGTGGAGATGTGATTGCTTAGCACCTGTGTGTTGTGAATATTCATAACCACTTATCAGCCCAAGCCTAAATGTTGTCCAGATCTTGCTGCGTATGGACACAGGCAGCTTCCGTATCTCAGGAATCACAAAAGATGCTCAACATTGTGCAATCATCAGTCCACCCATTTCCAACCTGATAATGGAGGGAAGGCTGTTGATGAAGCAACTGAAGATAGTTAAGCCGAGGAAACTACCCTTGAAGCACTCCTGCAGAGATGTCGTGGAGTAGAGATGTTTTGCCTCAAACAACCACAATTCTTTTTCTTTGTCAAGTATGAAAGCTTTCCTGCAATTCTCACTGATTCCAGTTTTGCTAGGGTTTCTTGATGTTACACTCCCATGAATGTGACCTTGATGTCAAAAGCTGTCACTCTCACCCCATGTCTGGAATTCAGCTGTTTTGTCGATGTTTGAACCAAGGCTGTAATGAGGTCAGGAGCTGAGTGGCCCTGGTGGAACCCAAACTGGGCATCACTGAGCAGGTTATTTCTGAGCAGGTGCTGCTTGATAGCACTGTTGATGACACCTTCCATCATTTTACTGACGATCGAGAGGAAACTGATAGAATGGTAATTGGCCAGGTTGGATTTTTATGTACAGGACATATCTGGGCAATTTTTCACATCATCAGGTAGATGTCAGTGTTGTAACTGTATAGGAAGAGCTTACTTAGCTAAGGGAGTGGCAAGTTCTGGAGCACAAGACTTCAATATAATTGCCGGAATGTTGTCAGGGCCCACAACCTTTGCAGCATCCAATATCTTCAGCTATTTCTTGATATCACGTGGAGTGAATTGAATTGGCTGAAGACTGGTATCTGTAATGCTGGGGACCACTGGAGGAGGCCAAGATGGATCATCCACTTGGCACTTTTGGCTGAAGATTGCTGCGAATGCTTCAGCCTTGCCTTTTACTATGATGTATTGGGCTCTTCCTTCATTGAGGATGAGTATATTTTGGAGGAGGAGGCTCCACATGAGTTGTTTAATTTTCCACCACCATTCACGACTGGACGTGGCTGGATTGCAGATCTTAGATCTGAGATCTGATCTATTGGTTGTAGGATCGCTTAGCTCTATCACTTGCTGCTTGTGGTGTTTGGAGTACAAGTAATCCTGCTTTTTTTTTAGGTATGCCTGGAACTGCTTCAGGCATGCCCTTCTGCACAGGAGTGCATCAGGGTAGTTTCTCGCAGATCGATCCCCTGGCCAATTGCTAATGATTGAGTGGGGGGATATGTCAGGCCATGAGGTTGCATATTGCGTTGGAGTACAATTCTGCTGCTATTGCTGGCCCATAGGGCCTCAAGCATGCCCAATCTTGAGTAGCTAGATCTGTTCAAAGTCTGTCCCATTATGCATAGTGATAGTGCAATATGACACGATGGAGGTTATTCTGAAAGTGAAGGCGGGCCTTCATCTCCACAAGGACTGTGCGGTGGTCACTCTTACCAATACTGTCATGGGCAGATGCATCTGTAGCCAGCAGATTGGTAAGGATGAGCCCAAATATGTTTTTGCCTCCACCTGCTGCAGACCCAGTTTAGCAGCTATGTCCTTTAGGACTTGAGCAGCTTGATAAATAGTGCCAAGCCACTGTTGGTGATGGACATTGAAATGCCCCACCCAGAGTATATTTTGAGTCCTTGCCACCCTCAGTGTTTCTTCCAATTGTTGTTCATCATTGAGGAACACTGATTCATCAGCCAGAGAATAGTATGTGGTAACCAGGAGGATGTTTCTTTGACCTTATTTATCCTGAAGCCATGGGAATTCATGAGATCCAGAGTCAATGTTGAGGACTCCCAGAGCAACTCCCTCCCAGCGGTATGCCACTGTACCGCCACCTCTGCTGGATCTGTCCTGCCAGTGAGACAGGACATATCCAGGGATGGTGATGGTGGTGTCTGGGACATTGCCTGTAAGGTATGATTCTGTGAGATACCTCTCCCACTACATGTCCCACTTTTGGCACTAGATGTCAATAAGGAGGACTTTGTCACGTCGACAGAGCTTTCTCTGCCATTGTCTTTTCCAGTACCTAAGTCAATGTCAGGTGGTCCATCCAATTTCATTTCTTTGTTGAGACTTTATAGTGATTGATACAACACATGGCCTGCTTGGCCATTTCAGAGGGCAGCTGAGAGTCAACCACATTGCTATGGGTCTGCAGTCGCATGTAGGCTAGAACAGGTGAGGATGTCAGATTGCCTTCCCTGAGGAATATTAATGAACCAGATGGGTTTTTCCAACAATCAATAGTGATTTCTTTTATTAGATTATTAAGAATTGGTAGATTCTTAATTCAAGATGGTTTTTATTGAATTCAAATTCCACCTTCTACTGTAGTGGGACTCAAACCCAGATCCCCAGAACATTGGCTGAGTTTCTGGATTAATAGTCAACTGATAACACCACTAGGTCATTGCCTCCCCAAGACCTAGAGTGCCTAACTGTGTAGTTTATTAGGCAATATCATAAAATATAGCAACACCTGGAATGAACATATAATTAGAAATCATCGTGAGCTGATTTCGTAATAAATCTCATCAAAAATACATTCACAAAAGCAAGGGTAACAAGGGAAAATGTTGCCAAGAACAGTACAAGTGAAGGGTCTGATAGAATTCATATTCCTAAAATTAACAGGGAAATTTTGAGATTTCTGGGAATGTGTGGGTTTTATCAATAGTTCGTGCCTAGCTTCAGCACGATAGCTGTATCTCTAAAACATTTGTTATAAAATAGGCAAAGGAAGTATGGTGAGAAGAGTGCCAAGCAGGATTTGAGAAGCTGAAGACAATTCTAGTAAATGAACTGATACTGGCCACCTTGACTTTGCAAAACCTTTTAAAACAGTAATTGATGCTAGGGACTTGGTGTTAGATGCCGCCTCATTGCAAGATGATGAATAGAGAAACCATGGAGATATTTTTGTAACAAATGAAATCAATATCAGAAGTAGTATTCAACAATGAAAAGAGGGTTTGCGATTATTGTTGTAGTTGGTTACAGATCTATGGGAGCAGAGGAGCCAGAGACATCCAGTGCTAGCAAACAGAAACCATCACTCTTTCCTGAGTTTGAGTCAAAGCCAAATGTTAAAATGTTGATTTTGAAGTCTATGTCTAACACAATTGCAAAGAATCACTGAAATACACTGACTTTAATCCGTCAGCTTTTGCAGAGAAATTTACGAGTTGAAATGGTAGATTGTTCCAACAGAGTTTATTATTTTAATCATTTCATGTAAAAACTGATTGTGTTGCTGGAAAAGATAATGTAATAGTTCACACATCATCAAGAAGGTGATTGTACTGGAATAGTTTAAGAATTTAGGATGAAAGGACAAGAAATTGTTTAAGTCCTGTATAAGGAATGGGTGAGGGTGAATCAATTTACATTTCTTGTGTTGCATATATGTGTTATGTTTACCTGGTAAAGAAACGGATTTAAAATGGCCACTCATCTCTTTCAGGGCGGAGGCATGTAAGGGACCATATATTTTTCTTTCTTGGACCAAAAACTGGAATGGATTCAGCTAGATAGCCGTAATAACCAGAAGAACTTTGAAACTTGGAAAAGTCATGTGGTACAGACTTTTAACTGTGCAAGACATATTAACTTTTGAAGCAGTGAGGTGGATATTTTGAGACACAGTTGCACCAAGAGTCTTTGAGTTAAGGAAAACTGCCTGAAATCAGCCCTTGCATTGGACTACCTATTGTTTGTTACAGATCAGTGGGAGCAGAGGAGCCAGAGACATCCAGAGCTAGCAAACAGAAAACATCACTTTTCCTTCTGTTGATTTGAGTCAAAGCCAAAAAAAGCAAGAAAACTTAAAATAAAGGATTTTAATGCACAAAAAGAACTAGATCCACCAAACCACCAAGTGAAAATGACCATAGGTTTATATAGGTATACATGTCATCATTGCTGAAAACAATAGGAACTGTGATGAACAATTTAACCTCTCCTTGTGATCTGGATTCATATTCATAGATTTGTTTTTGCTGTATTATATTTTCTAGCCGTTATATTTGTATCAAGCCATTCGCCCTTTTTCTGCCTCAGTTGTGCATGTGCGTGGCTTTGTGTGTGTGTATGTGTATCTGTGTGTGTATTTAGGGTTTTAAAGGGGTATAGTTTAAATTGGAAAGCAGTAAATTAGTGATCCCTTTTTTTCTCTATTAGTTGTGTGTTTATAATAAAGTTATTTCTATTCATGACAAAATCTGATTGAATTGCTTTTGTTGAGAATGGCAGTCAGTCAGGCAAATTAACATCCTGTTCTAACAAGCTGCATAACCAGGGAAGTAGAATTTTAAACTATGGGGTTTATATTTAGCTATAGACCCTACATACTATACCTACACTGGAGGCAGTCAGTGAAGTTCAGTAGATTGGTTCCTGAGACAATGGAGTTATACTATCATGAGACGCTGAGTAAATTGAGTCCATATTCTTTGGAATTTAGAAGAACAAGAGATAATCTAATTGAAACATATAAGAACATATATATGTATGTGTGTATATATATATATACACAACACACACAAATATTCCTAAAGAGCTTGAACAAGGTAGATACTGGGAACTTGTTTCCTCAGGTTGGGGAAATTTAGAAAATGAGGGCAGAGGGTTGTGAATCTTTGGACTTCTCCCTTTCAGATGATTCTAGTGCTTCATCATTGAATATATTTAAATCAAAAATTAATGCTTGGTCTGGCAGTGAGTCAACGGATGGGCAAGCAAGTGGGAGAGCACAGCTGAAGTCAAAGTTTAGCAGTGATTGGGTTGAATGGCAGAGTTGGTTCAAGGAGCAATATGGTTTAATGCTCCTCCGAAGACTCATGTTATTAGATTCTTATTTCACAAGGCGGAGTATCATAGCTCAGTCCAAATACACATGGCTAGATATGCACACCTTTCAGCAGAGTTCACACAATAACAATCAGGATTGATAAGTCTAGTTATTCTCTCCCCTAGACCTACTGTTATCAATTGAGCTGTTCCCTGGCTGAGGTTAGTAAACTCAGTACAAAAAGAACTTAAATGTTGTTCTCCATGTTTATTTTTCTAGCTGAGTAGCAAAGAATATCTCTCTCGTGTTCAGAAATGAGACCAACTAAATTACGTTTTGTATACTGTCATCATAGATTTAGCGCAGTTTTTTTTTGCTAACTAAAGAGGATAGAAGCCATTTCTGTTGGTTAAATGTTCAAACTTCAGTCAGGTCTTTTGCATTGTCCATCAAAGTGAGCATGTTACAGGATGAGTAAATGAGAGTCTGTGGTGCTGCATTTTAGAGTCTCCTGGTTTATGCTCATCACTAAAACTCCTTCAACCAACTGGAGGGGTGTCAGAATCAGTTGTGCACGTGCACTTGGCTCATCATGTTCTCCTTAGTGTTGTAGTACAAGTAAACATAGTCTCTGGTTATAATGCACTCAATGTAAGTTTCCCTGACAATATAAAGTGCCATTGGTGCTAAAGTGGTGTATTTATTGTGGTTGTGTCCACCTGAGAGCTTTGGATAGATTCACTGCCAGCACTAGTGGCACTAGTTTAAGTTACTGATACCAAGTGGGGAAGGTTGTCCACATGAAGCCTTGGGAAAAGAGAAGCTCATAGAGTCACTGAGTCATACAGCACCGAAACAAACCCTTCAGTCTTTCTTGTCCATGCCAACCAACTTTCTCCAAATTAAACGTCTCACTTGCCTGCATTTGGCCCATGTCTGTCTATATCTTTCCTATTCATGTACCTATCCAAATGTCTTTTAAATGTCGTAACTGTGCCCGCATCAACCACTCCCTCTGGCAGTTCATTCCACAGATGAGCCACCCTCTGAGTGAAAAAGTTGCACCTCAGATCCTTTTTAAATCTTTCACCTCTCAACTTAAAAATATGTCCCCTAGTTTTGAACTCCCCACCCTAGGGAAAAGACCTTTGCTATTCATCATTTTTATGTGTCCCTCATAATTTTATAAACCTCTATAAAGTCATGTCTCAACCTTCTCCGCTCCAGTAAATAACTCCCAGCCTATCCAGCCGCTCTTATAACTCAAACCCTACAATCGTGGCAACATCCTGGTAAATCTTTTCTGAAGCCTCTCCAATTTAATAATATCCTTCCTATAGCAGGGTGACCAGAACTGTACATAGTACTCCTAAAGTGGCTTCACTAATATCCCGTACAATGTCAACATGATGTCCCAACTCCTATACTCAATGGTCTGAGCAATGAAGGCAATAAACGCCTTTTTAACCACCATGTCTCCGTGACACAATTTTCAAAGAGCTATGGCTTGATAAACATGGTACATTTATTATATTGTACCTAATAGATAGCTGCATTACATCGGAGTTACACGAGAATCTCTTGTGAGGTCTCAGACGAGACATATGTATAAGAATACATTCCTGTTTAGCTACATAGATGTGAGCACTTATAACACTGTACACCTGGTAGGTCTACACATAGAATTGTTCATGGGAATTGATGTCAGTGAATCCCTTTCAAATACTAACAGTCTTATATAACATCTCCCACAAGCTTTTTTGTGGTTATTAAATTCTTCAATAAGTGTAGCAAGTTTATCAAATAGGTTTACCACTTCCTCATCTTTCCCCAAGGCTCTGACTTCATAAATGGGTGATGACTCGGTTGGGTTGGAATTCTGCAGCTTCAGGATGAAACATTTAGGTTCAGTATCTTGCTATCCTGGAACCTTGGTGAATTTTTGATTTCCTGAATGACCCTTGCAATGGACGACATCTAGCGTCAATGTTGCAACTGAATGTTGGTCTCTCTTTGAGGATCTTTAGTTTTCTCAAATTGTGTCAGAGAAGATAGTTGTGGTTCTGAAAGATGTGTTCTTCTCCTTTTGATACTCTAACAGGTTCACTCACAGGTGATCTTTCCTTTCTCAGGCATATTACACCATAAGATTTAGGCCTTTCGGCTCATCTAGTTTGCTCCACCATTCAATCATGGCTGATGTGTTTCCTTTCCCTATTCTTCTGCCCTTTCCTTCTGGTGTTTAATCCCCTTACTAATCAAGAATTTATCTACCTCTGTCTTAAATACATTCAATGACTTGGCCTCTACAGCCTTCCGTGGCAATGAATTCTATGGATTCACCATCCTCTGGCTGAAGAAATTCCTCCTCATCTCAGTTCTAAAGAGTCATTCCTTCACTCTGAGGGTGTGCCCTCAGTTCCTAGTCTCTCCTACTCGTGGCCTCTCAGTACTGAAAGTTTTATTGAGATCCCCTCATCTTTCTAAGCTCTGTCAAGTACAGACACAGAATTCTTAACTGTTCCTAATGCGACAAGTCCTTCATTCCCATGATTATTCTTGTAAACCTTCTTTGGACCTGCTCCAAGGCCAGCACATCCTTCCTTAGATATCGGGCACAAAACTGCTCACAATATTCCAAATGTGGTCCGACCAGAGCCTTATAGAGCCTCAGCAACACATCCCTGCCCTTGTATTCTAGCCCTCTTGAAATAAATGCTGATATTGCATGTGCCTTTCTAATTGCCAACTAAACCTGTATGTTAACCTTAAGAGAATCCTGAATTAGGATTCCTAAGTCACTTTGTGTTTCAGATTTCTGAAGCCTTTCCCCATTTTGAAAATAGTCTATGCCTCTATTCTTCCTACCAAAATGTGTAACCTCAGACTCACACATTATACTCCATCTTTCACTTCTTTGCCCACTTTCCTGGCCCATCCTTCTGCAGTCTCCCTACTTCCTCAACACTACCTGTACCTCTGCCTATCTGTGCCATCTGAAAACTTGGCAACAATGCCCTCAGTTCCTTTGTCCAGATTGTTAATGTATAATGTGAATAAGTGTGGTCCCAACTCTGACCCTTGCAGAACTCCACACGTCACCAGCTGCCATCCTGAACAATACCCTTTTATCCCCAATCTCTGCCTTCTGCCAGTCAACTATTGCTCTCTCCGTGCGAGTAGCTTGCCCCCAAAACTGTTTGGCAGATTCTTGTGTCAAACGCCTTCTAGAAATCCAAATAAATCATGTCCCACTGGCTCACCTTTGGCTAACATGCTCATTACCTCCTCAAAGAATTCAAACGGATCTGTCAGGCATGACCTCTCCTTGATGAGGCTATGCTGACTCAGCCCATATTTTACCATGTACTTCCAAGTACTCCACAATCTCATTCTTAGTAGTGGGCTCTAAAGTCTCATCATTGACTGAGGTCAGGCTAACCAGCCCATAGTACCTATCTTCTGCCTCCCTCCTTTCTTAAACAGAGGTATTACATTAGCCATTTTCCACTCCTTTGGTAACCTCCCTGACTCGAGTGATTCCTGAAAGATCACCACCAATGCCTCCACAGTCTCCTCAGCTATCTTCATCAGAACCCTGGGGGGTAGTCCATCTAGTTTGGCTGATTTATCCACCTTCAGACCTTCCAGATTCCCCAGCATCTTCTCCTTAGCAATGACCATTTCATTCACCTCTGCCTCCTGACTCTCTTGAAATTCTAGTATGCTACTGGTGTCTTCCACAATAAAAATGGATGCAAAGTACCTATTCAGTTCCTCTGCCATTTCTTTGTTCGCCATAACTACTTCTCCAGCCTCATTTTGCAGCAGTTCAATGTCCTCTCTCTTACCTTTTAGATATCTTTAAAAAACTCTGACAATCTTCTTTTATATTACTAGCTAGCTTACCCTCATTTTTCATCTGCTCCCCCTTATTGCTTCTTCTACTTTGGGATGAATTTCTGCTGTGCCTCCCAAATTATTCTCGGAAACTCCTGCCATTGCTGCTTCATTGACTTCCCTGCTTGGCTCTCCTTCCAATCAACTCTGGCCAGCTCCTCCCTCATATCTTTGTACTTGCCTTTACTCAGTTATAAAACCATTACATCTAATTGCAGCTTCTCCCTTTCAAATTCCAGAGTGAATTCTATCATATTATGGTCACTGCCCCCTAGGGGTTCTTTCACCTTGAACTCCCTAATCAAGTCTGCCTCATTACACATCACCAAATCCAGAACTGCCTGTTCCCCAGAGGGCACTACCACAAGCTGCTCCAAAAAAAAATCTCATAGACATTCCATGAATTGCTTTTCTTAGGATCTGCTACCAACACGATTTTCCCAGTCCCTCTGCATATTGAAGTCCCTCGTGATTTTTCTAACAGTGCCTTT